CGGAGCTCTCCAAGGTGCTGCAGAGAGCCCTGCTCCGCGGGAAAACCGCCCCCGCGCAACCTCCGCCCCTGCCCCACCGCCGCCAGCAGCCGCAGGTTCCACCGCCGAGCTTGATTTTAATCCTTTTTGAAAAGCCTAACCGCAAACCTTCGGTCCCGCTCAACCCTTCTTACTCCCTGCCTTTCACTGTCTCTGTCTTCCACCCGCCTTCGGTGTGAGCAAAACTGCTCTCCCCTCCCAATTATAAAGCAATTCAGGTGGTGACGCTTCAGTGGTCTTTATTTTGTGCAACTGTTCTTTCAGGTGCCTGATTTTCCATTTTTCTTTTCATAGTGTTTCTCTTGAGCTAAACATATGCTTTGTTGCCCTGTGTTCTTCTGAAAAACTAACATTCTCTGCTGAACCAGCAGAAGCTGAAAAGGATATAAAGCAAAATGGAAGAACGGAGTCTTTTTTGCCCTAACACATTGCCTTCCATACCGAGCAAAAGAGAGGTGCAACCCACCACTGAAATGAGCTTGCTTTTGTGCCAGCTTGCTTTTTTGTTGCTCCTGACCCAACATTCCCATGATTTTTCTCAGGCTTTCTTTTCATGAGATGTTTCTCAGATATGACTCGTTCTTTTCTTCTTTGTGTGAAAATGAGGCATTTCTGCTTTTCCTTTCATTCTCAGTCTGTGTCCCTAACCACCAGGCAGTGGCAGTCCTGGCTTCTTTGTATACACAAGGTTTAGTTGGTTTGTGAAGATTTCTTGTAGTCACTGTGAGAAGGAGTAATGTTGTCTCAGAGGACTGCTGTGTTGGTTGTGTTCTTGTGGATTTGGGTGTGTTAAGGCAACAGGTCTGTTGGGTGGTTCAAAAAATGTTCAGTCCCCACTGCTTGCACTGAGGAAGTGTCCTGAAGGCTTTCCCTGGCACGTAACTTTTGCTGTTGATTGCAGGGGCTCCAGGACCAAAAGGGAGTCAAGGAGTTCCTGGGTCACCTGGACCTCCCGGACAGCCAGGCCCTCGTGGATCAATGGGACCTATGGGCCCATCTCCAGACATATCACATATTAAGCAGGGCAGGCGGGGTCCTGTGGTCAGTATTCTCATCTCTTGTCATGCACGGTACAATCGGCCTTAGCCCCACAACTTCTCACGTCCTTGTGAATACTTTCTTTTCTCTTGCAGGGCCCACCAGGAGCCCCGGGGAGAGATGGTAGTAAGGTGAGGAAGGGTGCTGTTTTCCATTATGTGGGTTCATGCACATGCGAGGTGAAGGCTTGCTAGAGAGATGCTCCACGCACTTGCAGTAACTCCCTTTTACCATCTCATTTCCTTTGCTAAGCTGAAAACACCCTGTTGTCCCATCCCTTCATGTCTTCCTTCTGTGTTTGCCATTCCTTAAGTCTTGCAAATAGCCCTTGCCAGGCTATCTGTCAGCCTCCTTCCCTTTCTCTGCAGCTTTTTGGGCTTTTCCATGAAGAAACGTTGATGCTTTAGCCCATTTCATTAGACTGCTCTTTTGTGAATTTCTTCTGGTTTGCTGGTTAGCTGGTTTGCTTGTTACTATCTAGAAGAAATATCAGAAGTGCCCACCTCTGCTCCCACTACAATTAAGGCAATTTCCTTGTGTTTCTCCTTCACTTTCTTTCCTTTTTCTGAGCATGCATATGCTGATGATTCTTGATGTGGGGACAGTAAGTAAAGGAGTCTGCAGAGGCAGACTGATTATTTTTGCTTCCTTCAGCCACAGCAAACTAACTGCAGTGGTATTGATTACAGGGGGAGCGAGGTGCACCAGGACCAAAGGGGATACCCGTAAGTATTGCTCACAGCAGGAATTTCCACAAGAAGGATGCTGACTACTAAAAACACGTCAGCCAAAAGGAAAAAATTCTCCTGGGCTAAAAGCATGGTGAAGGGTAGATTACATACATAGAAAATGTTATTGGCAAGAAAGTAATTACCTGATTTTAGCCAAGTGGCTTTGCTGGGTGTGACACTGAAGGCAGGAAGTGCGTCTCTGCCCAACAAGACCAGTGGGACATTCTCAGAAGGCAGTAGTGTGAGATCCCATGGAGAGTGCTAGTCAGTACAGCTCAGACACTGCTTGTAATGGGAGTTGGATCCCTGGAACCTTTTAAAAACCTGTCCCTCATCTGTATCTGGGATTTGGGAAGCTATGGGCTGTCAGCAAGTCATCAGGAGGATGAGTATTTACCATCTGTTGTCAGGTGAAATTGTTTCAAAATTTCTTATGATGTTTTCTCATGAGTGGAATGGCTTTTTAAGAGCATGTCCAGTATGGTGTCCTCGGTATTAAACAGTGAATTTACTGTGTGAATTTAGCTAAAAAGAAGTTATAATTTTCTAAAATCAGATAAAACCAGATGGATGCTTTCTGCTTTGTAATTACCAATATATTTAGTAAGTGACGGGCAGCAGTGGGGTTACCGTACTGAAGAGATACCTTCCAAACAGCAGCATTTTTGACAAAATTTTTCAAATAAGTAATAATTATTGATTAGTCATTCTAAGACTGGAACTTCTATCAGTTTATTAAGAAGGAACACAAGGAACGGAGTTTTATCTCCTCTATCCCCATGAGGTGTCAAGATGCTTTTAGGAGGCAGATACAGCAAAGGAAGTAACAAAAGGGCTGATCACCTTGTAAATATATGCTCTGTCTGCAAAAATATTTTTCTTCTTTTGAGAATTGTTTTCTGAGCAGGTTGATTCGAAAAGTGCCTGTTAATTTCTGGCAAATGAAATGAAGCAGTATTTTACTCTTACCCCTGCAAGAGTAATTATATCAACCTGTCTGAAAACCGTAAAAGCAAAGTGGAATATAATTAATTACCATGCCTTGTGACTGCAGGGCCCACCGGGTTCATTTGATTTCTTATTGCTGATGATGGCAGACATCAGAAACGACATCGCTGAGCTGCAAGAGAGAGTGTTTGGACACAGGACTCATTCATCAACAGAGGAGTTTCCATTACCTCAGGAATTTACAAACTATCACGACACAGTAGATTTTGGATCTGGAGAAGACTACAAGCCACGGGCAGCACCCAGAGACTCCAGGATACAGAAGGCAGCCCATCCTTAGCTATGCCTACTGAAAAATAGACCCCCTTTAGAGTTCTTCAATATAAAAATGCACTGACAATGTAAAATATATATTTTTTTTTTCCCCCAATTTTCTCTCTGCTTTTCCCCAACCATGCTGCCTGTACTGTAGCTTTCCTGGTTCATGGTAGCCTCCTCACAGTGATTCCATACCATGAAGCCTGCACTGTGTGTTGTACCTAGACTATAAAGAAAACCTTCTCAGTATATAATACAATTAAGGCATGCTCTAGGTAATGGCACAGACCACAGCATTTCATCTGCCTACCTTGCATTCTATGTCCAAATAACCCAGTACCCAAATTTTACCAGGTAGAGAGGGGGAGCTGACCATCATCCCTGAATCATGTCAGTAATGAAAACCTTGGTCCACTGTTACTTCATACATGTAAATATATTATACTGCTGAAGTCAGGTCTCCAGCTGCTGTTCTCAGGCTTAGGAGAGTGTGGAAAGTGGACCCATGTTTCACAGCAGAGGCCAGCTGTAGACGTATTTTTCTATTATGCTACACCATGGCAAAAAAAGGCAAAAAAAAAAAAAAAAAAAAAGGAAAAAAAAGGTGCTCCAATTCTATCACTTCATAAAGCACAGATAGCCAAAAATGAAGAATAGGGGTGCGCAAGGTTTTTTACAGGCTTTGGAGGGCAAAAAAAAAAAAAGGCAGAAAAGCTGAAAAAAGCCGCCCGGAGCTGCCCCCCCCGCACCCACACCTCGGTGGGGGGACACTCGCCCAATTGCATTATGTTTTAGTGGTTTATTATTTTGATTTTCATGCAGAGCAGCCTGTTCCAGCTCCTCGTAACAAAGACAATTATGCTAACTTTATTGGATTTGCATTCAGGGCTGATTTGTCAGAATTGTATATTGGTTCTGGGAGATGGAAGGGGAAGGAAGAAAAACCGGCGCGTTTTGCTTTTCATGAGTACAAAAAAAAAGAAAAAAAAAAAAAAAAAAAAAGGGTAAAGCAGTGATAAAAGGGCACTGCTTCCACTGCTTCTTGATCTGGAAATGATTTGGCTTTGTGTTGCTAGGGTATCAATCAAAGAGTGTCAAAAAGATGACTTTGTCTTAAACTAAGACTACTTTTCCATTACCATTCTCCCACAGCTCGGTTTGACGGTCAGTTCCCTTCCTCAACAGGTTCATGCTGGATTCATTACACAACTATATGCAAGATAATAGGGGATATATAAAGCAGGAAAACCATGGATAAGTGAATCAAGTAGGCTTATTGGGAAGCACAAAACCAATCCCAGCCTTGCAGAAAGAGTCAGATTCTGACCTCCTGTAGGTGCACGTCTTCCCTGGTGAAATGCTGAAGTCCAAGTGAAATCGAGATGAGAGAGAGGCCACATATTTGCAAAGAGTTTGTTCCTCTGCTGCGTGAGAGTGACCTAAATGGCATTCACAGAACTGGAACACAGAGTTGCAGCGTGTTTGGCTGGGTGTATGAGGAGTATGAGCAGGTGCAGGAGTGCATGTGACAAAACCTTTTCAACTGGTACGAGGATGGCTAAGGTGAGGTACTGCACATGGGATCCTGTATTTGTGAAGAGGGATGAAAGGGAGTGCCCTTTTTTACACTGGAAAATGGAATGCACAAGTTAGACCATACCTCACAGATCATGTATGTTACCATTAGTTTCAGATAACCACAGCTGCTGATGTTTGCCATGCTTAGAAGATAAAGGAGTATATTAAGCACAAAACTTCAATGTTGTATCTGTGTAGCTGCTACTTCTACAGTATGTTTAGTGCTGGGTCATGTCCATGTTACATTTGTAACACCTTTTGCATTTACAAAGAAAAACTTCTTATTTTGCCATGTTTTTCTGGGCTTGCATGTTCTGTTAGAATAAATACAGGTAAAAATATAAGAAGGCCCTTATCAGATAACCCTTAAAGGTTTGGATTCCCTTCTGTGTTCTCTGGGCCCAAAGATGGTGTAATCCCTACACCACCGGCACAGGTCCTGTTGTATAAAAAGCTGGCTGCCTAGACCTTTCATATTTTTTGAATATTATATTAAGGGGATGTGTCCTTTCCAGTCATTGTTTCCCAACTCCTCACTATCACTATGCCACAAGCAAGGGCATTAGCTTTAAGAACTTTAGCATTCTGCACTCCATGTTATATATATATATCGATATTTACAGAGCTTAGAAAAAAGTATGTGCTCTCACCCTGTGGTCTTTGGGCTTCTCCTCTGGGAGGAGCTCCACCAGCAGCCACAGATCCAAGCAAGTCTTGACAGCAAGTTACAGGCAAAGCAGTGAGTTTTGAGGAAGGAACCTGTGGCCAAAAGAGGGATGGTGTTACGTACAGCAGGCTGAAAGGCAGCATGAACTGAGGCATTTAAGTCTTTTTTGCTTAATTGCAAGCAGGCAACTAGGTATAAATGACGTGGTTCAAGAATAGGCGATTTCAACTAGCTTTGTTAAATGTCAAATGTTGTACTGGTAACACTTGCAAAGTGTGTAACTCTTGCATATGTTTACCACCACACCCCATCACCTGCTGGATCAGGTCAATTCCCTCTATCGAATTAATAGCTGCAGCTTTTTGGACCATCAGATACTGAATGATGAGTTAGATGAGCAACTTCCAACGCACCAACTACATTGTATTGCCCCCTGCCCACAAGAAGGTGTGTTCTAAAAAGGCATTTATTTTAGTTCTGAGACCACAAGAAGGTGTGTTCTAAAAAGCATTTATTTTAGCTCTGAGCTCCGCTTTTCCAAATGTAGACAAATAGCAAATAAGAAGTTCCTACAGTTTGACCATCAAATTCAGGGGCAGGTGACAATTTACCCTGCTGTGCATTGGTATCTAGGGAAGGGAAATTGTGAGAGTGGACCAGAAAAGCAGATAAAATATATGCCTCACTGTAAGTACAGGAAGTTTTTTTACAGATTCATGAATATAAAATCTGGCCCATGTTTTTGTGACTTTCTGAATGGAAACCTCAGTAACTTCCCTTTCTGGGGACTGCATCACAGCTTTTCTCAGCTGAGAGCTGGGTTTCCAACAGATGTGCTTACTCCATGGAAAAGGTGAAGGAAAGTGGTCATTGGGTCTGTCCTTGTCCTTCACCCTCCTCGTTCCAGACTGAGTCCCAGCAGGAAGAAAGGGACATAATGGTGAAGATAAGCCTGCCTGAAGTGCCACGGGAATTCCTGCAGTAGGGAGAGCCCCTCCGAGCACAGCTGGCTGGGAAGGCTCAGCCTTCTGTCTGCCCCCAGCTAAATTATTTGCATAAACCTTTCTCATTTTATTTCTGATTAATTTTATGATAACTTTGATAACACATTGTGTCAGAAAAATTCCGTTAAGTTTTCTGGATAAACACAAACAACTGCTTAGATAGAAAAGTGACATTTTCTTTAGCATACCTAAAGTTTCATAAAGCCAGACCAGAGGAATCTTCTCCAATTTTAGGCTTGGTTACCAGCGAGCCAGGGAAGTCATTATCTTGTAAATTATTTATTACTCTGTGGCCCCAAAAGTAACAACACCCTCCCCCCGTTCCACCCCAAGAATCCAAAATTAAAATGTAGAAACATTTACACTCACACCTAGTTTCATTACTAGGCTCATGCACAAGACAACTTTGTTCCATATAAATGCTATGTATAATTTTATTAGAAATAAATATTATTTTGATGTTAAGACATCAAGTTATAAAGCAGAAGGATAATAAAGAGTTTGTTATTTTATTAATATTAGAAATATATTTAATGGAAACATTTGCAAGAGTGTGTAGTGATGGGAAAATGCTGATTGTTAATGGATTTAACAAAATTGTAAAGCTTGGAAAATGTTTTCTTTCAACACTGTGCCACGTACATACAGGATTAGTCTTTCTTGCAAAGCTAGAGTACTGACACAGACAAATTCCTATATAGCCAGGCTAAATCAGGAAAAGGAGAGGAAAATTGATTGTAAATTGAATTAAGATAATGCCTGGAGTTACTGTCGGCATCACAGCTTGAGTAACCATCTTCGAAGAAGTATTTGGAGTTAAGAAGCTAAGCCCCAGAGAAGCAGCAAGAGATGGGGTTCCAAGAATTTGTTAATTTCACATTAAGATTCGTATGTTTGTTTCTATTACACATTCCAATAACTATACTGTTCACTTTATTTATATATGAAATACTAAAACGTGTATGAAATGACTGTGATTTTATGATGTATTCATAATAACAAAGATATTTTTTCTTACGCTGCTGGTAGCTGCTTTTGTTACGCATCCTCCTTCTGAAATACAGAAATGCTGACTGCAAGGGACAAGCAGCAGGAAACCTCCTTATGCTGCCTTTTAGCATTTTTCTTGCAGCAGAGTTACAAGCGCTGCCAGGAGGGCTACGGGGACGTCACCACGAGGACGGTGGCTCCAGGGCCCTGTGAGGGCTACCTGAGGCTGGATCGAGCACCATCACCCCGTGGTGCCGGCGTCACAGCGTCGGTGCAGCCTGGGGATGTGCTATGGGGGTCCCAGGCTCTGCTGGCATCCCACCCCCGGTGCTGGGGACAAAATAAGGTACAGGCCGTGGCACGCCTGGCCTGCCCATGGCGTCTGGCTGAGCCCTTCCCACAGCCCCAGGAGCATTCTCCGAGGCCTCTGCCCCACCATCTTGCCCCAGCTGCTGGGCGAGGGGCAGCAGGGAGGCCGGCCATCCTCTTTGCCCTCCTCGGGGCCTGTCCGCCTCCACGGCCTCGCCCCAGGGGCGGGGGGCAGAAAAGATGCGATGCCGCGAAGGCAGCGACGGGGCTGTTATACCGCCGGGCTGGCTGCAGCGGAACAAGGCCGCAGCGGGGCGGAGGACGGCCGCCACCCCCTCAGCGGTGCGGGACTACAACCCCCGGCATGCCGTGCGGCTCCATCGCGCCTGCGCACCTCGCCGCCATTCGGCGACCGGGCCTGCCCCGGCAGGCCGGCGCACCCGCCCCGGAGACCCGGGGGCTTTCCTACCCCGTTCGGACTTCTCGGTACGCGTCTCCCGTCTTCGCTACCCGGCCGTGGCTCCTCCGGACCCTCTCGGTGCAACGGCTGTGTGAAGGGAAGGAACTACAACTCCCGGCGTGCTGCGCGGCGCGCGGGGTCTGTCGGGAGGCGGCTCCCATGGTGCTCCGCGGCGAGTGTGGCGGCGGCGGCGGCGGGAGGGCGGCGGGATGCGTCTGTCGGTGGCGGCCGCCATCTCCCACGGGCGGGTGCACCGGCGGCTGGGGCTAGGCCCGCGCTCGCGCCTCGACCTGCTGCGCAACCTGGTGACGGCGTTGGTGCGTCATGAGCGCATCGAGGCGCCCTGGGCCCGCGCCGACGAGATGCGGGGCTACGCCGAGAAGGTGAGGGGGACCGGCCGGGCCTCGGGGGGCCGGCGGGGTTCGGCCCAGGGGTCCTGACGGCTCTGCCTCCTTCCTTCCCGCAGCTCATCGACTACGCCAAGCTGGGAGACACCAACGAGCGCGCCATGCGCATGGCGGATTTCTGGCTGACGGTAAGTATCGCCGGCGTGGCCTTCCCCCCCGCCCCGCAAATCCCTCCTTGCCCCCCGCAGCCCCAGTGCAGGAGTTGAGTGTGGCTCCCCCACCCCCTGCTCCCCGCAGGAGAAGGACCTCATCCACAAGCTGTTCAAGGTGCTGGCCCCCCGGTTCCAGCCCCACGCCGGTAGCTACACCCGCCTGCTGCAGATCCCCAACCGGGACAGCCTTGACCGTGCCAAGATGGCGGTCATCGAGCTCAAGGGGAACCCTTTGCCTCCACTCATCCGTCCGCACCGTGACAGCGAGAAGACAGTGCTCAACCAGCTCCTGAAGGGCTACCGGGAGGACCTGCAGCAGGCCACCAAGGGCACCGCTGTCTAGGCATCCCCGGGCCTTGGCGTGAGCTGACCCTGCACTTTGTTGGTGTCCTGGAGCGTAGGAATGGAGGATGTCCCAGAAGGCCTGAAGGTTGATTGCTAAGTTTGGGTTGCCATGACGTGGGGGGCAAGCTCAAGGTTTACTTGCTTCTTCCTGTGGTTTGCACAGAAACTTGGCAAGAGAAGGAAATGAAGCTGGGAGCTCTCACGGTTGATATTCTCTGTGTAAATAAACTCTGTTCAGAAAGCGAGTGTTTGGACTCTATTCCTATGCACGTGAATTAGTACCTTATTCCAGCAAAGACTGGATTTCTTAGAGCTTCTGGTCTAACAGCCCTGCTCTCTGGAACAGCATCTCTGCTTCACTGTAACAGAGCTGCAGTATTTTTCAGAAGTCAGCGTGCAGCCTTTCAGGGCAGGAAATTCAGTGAAATTCAACTTAGTTCTGCTGTCAGAAGCACTAAATGCAAATAGGGTGGTAGCACTGAGATAAGTCTTAAAAGAGTAATCACCAAAGTGGCTTGTGTTCTAATAAGGAGGCAATGTGGGCAGCGATAATAGCCATCCCTACCAGGAGCTTAGTAGACATAGAATCATAGAATCATTCAGGTTGGAAGAGACCCTTGGGATCATCGAGTCCAACCATCTACCCTACTCTGCAAAGTCCTCCCCTACACCATATCCCTCAGTACCTCATCTAAATGTCCCTTAAACACAGCCAGGGATGGTGACTCAACCACCTCCCTGGGCAGCCTGTTCCAATGCCCAACCACTTTTTCTGTGAAAAATTCCTTCCTAATGTTCAATCTAAACCTACCCTGTTGGAGCTTGAAGCCGTTCCCTCTTGTTCTGTCGTTAATTACCTGTGAGAAGAGACCAGCACCAACCTCTCTACAGTGTCCTTTCAAGTAGTTGTAGAGAGTGATGAGGTCCCCCTCGGCCTCCTCTTCCTCATACTAAACAGTCCCAGCTCCCTGAGCCGCTCCTCATACGATTTGTTTTCCAGCCCCCTCACTAGTTTCGTTGCCCTCCTCTGCACTCGCTCCAGCACCTCGATATCTCTCTTGTATTGAGGTGCCCAAAACTGGACACAATACT